AACATCTAGTCTAAAAACATGGACTTTAATAAAAAGAGTTCAAAACATAGGATTCAACATTGTCCTAGCATCTATAAAACTAGTCAAGCATTATATTATTACAATGATACCAATTAAGTATACAATATCACCCGAAAGCAAAGATTTGGGAAGAAAGACGAAAAGAACTCTTGAATCATGATCCCTTCAATGGTTCTTGAATTATCTCCTTGGATGTCTTCTTCTTCTTCTTCAAACCTATGGAAATATGTATGGCAAGATATGTAATTCGTGTTTTGCAATAAAAGCTTCTTCAAAACTTTGTAAAGAAATGCGTATTTTAATTTCCAAGGCCCTTTTTTCTATATGCATGGTGCATTTTATGTACAAGAGCCTCCAAGCTTCCTCCCTTTTATTTGTACATGAAGATTTGTTTTTACGGAAATAGGCAAAAAATTTACAAGAAGAGGTTGATTCAAAGAAAGAAAATAATTGCTATCGGGAGCCTATGCGATTACATGCAAATGGCCTGCGATTGCACGTGCTAGTAGTTTAAGCTCCAGGATTTGAAACTGGAGTCTCGCGATCGCATGGGATATGCTTTGCATTGTAAGGCATAGTATTTTCATTGTTTACGATTTGGTATTTGTCTTTTCCTCTTTGTTCAGTTTTAGTCCTTTCTTCTTTGCACTTTTAGTTCTTCGTCTTTAAATCTTCATAATTTGATTGTTTACATTCCAAATCATCCGTTATTGATCCGATACAAGTTCCAAAAATTTGCAATTATGTCCCCAAATTTTCCAAACACTAGATTTGACTCTCAAACTTGTGAATCACTTTTGATTGCTCCATTAATGTTTCCAATTGATAAATTGCAATCCATGTAATTATCAATTGCCTCGAATCAACTCCAATTATGCTCCAAAAATGCATTTTAAGTGGGTTGCTTCCAAGTACATGGCCGATTCGAACGGATAACAACCAATTCAATTGATGATCCAAATGTCTAAATGGATTGAACTAGGGTTCGAATCATCGATTTTCTGATCGAACTGACTAGTTCTTTTTATGAACTATGCTCTATGTTAGTAAGTTCGTTTTTCACATTTTTTATATATATTTTTAGACATGAAGCACCAACATAAAGGGCATCCTAAGTCTGTGTTGCTCTATTTCTAGTAAAATTACTATTACCAAGGTGAAAGGGGAAATTTATTTTCCTTGAGGTTGGAACAAAAGATGTTGATGTAATACTATGATATAGAAACAACAATTAATGCTTGTACAAGCATAACAAAGAGATATATATTTGCAAGCCAGCCATTCAAATACCAAATTATAGTGATTGAGAATGTACGTTGTGTTGGGAAAATAACATGAATTTACCGGCGCACTAATTTATATTCAAAATAACTTTTATAGTAAGTAAAAAATTGGGGAGAATTTTTGATTCATTGAATGAACAAGATAAAATAGAAATTAAAATGGTCGATGCAAGAGTTCGACTCTTTCTCCTAAAGACGATAACATCCTGTACTGGTACTAATAGTCTTTCGAATTCATCTTTCAAAATACAACGACCTCGATTTGTAATAGTGGCACTACAAATTATAAATACCGATAAACTTACTAATATTTTGATATCTCTAAAATTGGACGAGGAATAAAAATGCAAGAAAATAATATTCCGGATTGAAACACAAAATTCGAAATAGTGTAGGAAAGAAAGAAATATTATTTTTGTAGCAGAGAATTAGAAACGATTTTGGAATTAAGAAAATCCAACATAGGGGACCAATTTATGGAATTTGAAAAGTTGTATGCAAAAGACACAACAGCCGAAAACTTGTGTCTTGAACAGATACAATTTGCCTAAATAGACAGCTTAATAGAAAATCGTCAAATTCCAGAAGATGCTATTGTCATGCACAAGAAATCTCAGGAAGAAAAATAAATAATACAATTAAATATATTATTTAATTAATTACAAAATAATATAATTCAAATATTATTTTATTAAAAAATATATACCAACTTGAGCCAAGTCCAAGTCGAAACCCACAATCCTACCCGTGTCGTACCGGCCAGCTAGCGACACACATGGGCTTTGATCTAACCAAGCATGTAGGTCTTCTACCATTCAAAAACTATTGTACCTTGTGGTCCAATCCTAAGTGTCAAACTTGAGCAAAGTAAAGTGGTTTCTTTTCTTCTGATTTTCTTATGTAGGATTGACAATATTTCAATTTATCATCAATTTTGTTGGGAAATATGTAGGAAATCTGGAACAATAAATAACTCCAAGGCACGAAAATCGTTATCTTTTAAGAGATGTTTCTCCCCTTTCCACCAAAGTCACGACTGGGGTATGATAGAAAATCTCTCTCAGGATACAATGGAGGCGGTTGATTCAAATTGTGACTATTTGATCAAACCAAGAAACACTCTATAGAGAAACTGATGATGCCAAGAGAAAGATAGAAGAATAGAAATTTTTTAAAAGTGTCTCGCAAATGAGAATTCGCCCAAAATATATAGAAATGGAGGCAACCTTTTGAATAGGTGTGTCCCTTGAAATGAATGGACGCATCTGTAGGAAGAAACATACCTATTCAAAAACTTCTGAAAATAAAATTCTCTTTCTGGGGCGTTGCCCCCGAGCCCCCACGGGGGGCGCTGCCCCCTTGACCCCCGCGACCTGACCGGGCAGGTCGATCCCCGTTGCGTAGCGGCGAACACTAGTCGGAGCGGCAAAACATTCGCAAAACAAAAGATAATACATGCAAAATGATGAAAAATATCTAACAAATTTTTATTCTCAATTATTTTCAACTTCAAGTGGCATCTTTTGACCTTAATTTGTCATTCATCTGAAATTGGTTTTGAGAAATATAAATTGGTTTCTAGATATTGGTTTTGGGCCAAACTTGAACAATATAAGCGATTTCTATTACTATAGTTTTCCTACGTGGGATTGGCAATTTTCAAGTTTTCACCAAATTTTATTATCAATTTCTTTCAACTTCAAGTGTCATCTTTTAGCCTTAATTTTTTATTCATCCAAATTTGACTTTGAAAAAATAAATATACTACGTTGATCTATTAGCGAAGTAGAACACACTAGCAACAGAACTCTTTCGTCCGGCTACCGAAACCTACTTAAAGGTGTGTTGATGTATATTATTGAAGAAAAAATATATTTTAAATAGTGATATGATGAGAATATGTGGTTAGAAAGTAAGGAAAAGTTATTGATATGATGGAAAATATTATTTATTGAATAATGTGTGGTTGAAAATGATTTATGAAATAATGTATTTTAAAAGAACGTGTGTCTAAATAACTGGTAAAAGTTGGTTAAACTAACTTTATAAACCAATTTCCAACATGACTCCTTGTGCGACACATTGTAGCAATTTCTTGCCGCAAGTTAATTTTTACTTTAAAAAGATGAAATAAAAATATAACTTCATTAATTGATTATGAAGGGTAGATATTATTGCCAATTAAATGGAGTAATGTTTAGTCAATAATGAGTGTCACTGTCGAAGCAAATGTGGCAGTTTCATAATATCCTCGCATTTCTTGATTCACGATTTTATGTATGTTCAAATTAAGTTGACAAAGATACCAATTATTTTGATGATATGAAGAAGTGTCAATATCTCACTTGAGTGACCCCATTTGCGTTGCGATCAAATAATGTGAATATGTACTATACAATTTCCATTTAAGTTAAATAAAAGTAAGGTGTATTATGTTGGTATGTGCATTCTTTTGCAAGATGAAGTCTGAAAGCTGCTATGTAGAGGCACTGATCCAATTTTTGTCATCTGAGAAGTAGACAGAGTCAGTAATAGCTGGATTTTGTTTCTTCAACCCCAAACCTCTCACATCATTTCTCGAAATTTGGATAACGTCCTTACTATTCCAATAATCTCAAAACATTTCACGATTAAAGAAAAATCAATACTAATATTAGAAAAATTAATACTAATATTTCGATTTGGGTTGATAAATGGCATTGTTCTAATTTTCTATTTTAGGGAGTGACCATATATGGAAAAGAACAAAAGGAAAAGATTGGATGATCTCTCTCTCGTGCGACGACTCCTGACTCCTGTTTTGTATGAATTAAAATTTTAATTTAAATCAAAATCAACAAATAATTGTAATCATGTTTTTCATATGACCACAATTTTTCGTTTACACATTTCTTTAATTTCTATCAAAATATATTAAAAATCTGATTTTAATCTCAACCAAACATGAGCTAGCTCTAATATGGAGAACTATAGTTAATTTTATTTCTGGTTACTTACAGTGAAAATCTCAATTAGGCTGTTCAACTTTAATTTGTCTTGATCACATCAATTAACTTTAATTTACTATTAATTTTAGCTCTCTTTACTAAACTTATCGTCATAATCTTACATCAACATTAAAGTTGACATCATTCTAAAGTCATATTCTCAGAAAATATGACACATAATCACGTTGTTTCAAATAAAAAAAAATTATATTTATAAAGAGCCACGATAATTCATTGGGGGAGAAGTTAAATTGTTTGGCCGTAATTTTTTAGAAGTCATTTTTTTTTTTCCGAATTCACTTTTAGCAACATATTTTATGAGATCCACAATTTATTTCAATTTTATCAAAATCTGCTAAAAATCTTATTTTAACTAAACCAAATGGAGGCTTAAAGATTTTGCAGCCAGGACATGATTAGGTGGCATACTTGCCTAGAAATAGGAGCTAACGGAGGATTTTAATTTAAAAGTAAATCAAAGTTTGATGATTTGATTATGACAAATTAAAGTTGGGTGATCTAAATGAGATTTTATTGAAAATTCAGTGAGCAAAGATGAAATTTAACTCATAAATATATGTTATTATCAAGCAGTCAATTGAAGAAGCAAGAATATTATTTATTTACTAATAATTAAAGATTAAAAAAGTGTAATAAAAATGGAATCCAAATGAAGAATTTTTTGTGAAAAGAAGTGGAAGCTGCATGCCTAATTAATTTGATGCAGAGTATGTGTAGCAGTAATGAGAGGGTCAGTTTCAAGTGATGAAACTGATGATGACTTCTTCAATAAATTCTTGTTAGCTTCCGAATAAGAAGAAGAAGAAGACACTGGTAATACTGAAGCAGTATTCGAGGACATCGAAGATTGTGTTGTGAGCTCTTTTGCCCTCTCCATTTCAACTATCCAATCGGTTGTATACAGAACATAGAACATGAGCAATAAGCATGAAGCCTGAGCTACTAGCAAGCCGAGCCATAGCCCACTAAACCCCATTTTCAGCACAAATCCCATCAGGACGGCCACTGGCATTCCCACAAAATAAAATGAACCCAAGTTGATATTTGCTCCAATACTAGGCCTTGCACTTCCCCTCAACACCCCACAACCGGTGGTTTGTGGGCAGTTCCCAAGCTCGCATAGCCCTGCTATGGGTAATGCTATTGCAGTGAGATCAAGAATTTCCACATCTTTTGTGAAAAACCGGCCCCATGTATGCCTCATTAGGGTGGTGAACCACATGGCTGCAAAACCTAATGCCACTGCACAAGTGATCGAAACTATCATTGAAATTCGTGCTTTCTCCGGTCTTCTAGCGCCAAGCTCGTTCCCAACTCTGGTGGAGACACCAAGGCTGAGGGATGATGGAAACACATAGACTAAAGAGGTTATTTGGATAAGGATTCCCATGGAAGCAATTGTAGCTTTGGGGTTTGCTAGGAGTCCACAAAGCATAATCATGAACTCATACCACCACCACTCTAGGCAAACTGAGATACAGTTTGGCACAGCTAAGGCTAGTAAAGATGACCATCCACGTAGGCAATCCATGCTTGGAGCCACCCATGAGTCCTTATCTACACCAGAGAAGTATATGAACAAAGAGAGCAGAAGGAGAAGATTGAGATTTGTCCAAGCCATTGCCAAGGCCACTCCGGCTACGCCCATTTTAAAATGTGTTACAAGAAGAAAATTTAACGGCACATGTAGGAGAACTGATATAGCTGAACAATAGGTCAATGGTAATGTGATGCTTTGAGTCCTGAGGTAGATTCTCAATGGATGAAGCAGTGAGAGGAAGAAGAGATCTGGAATGGCAAAGACAATGTAAGTATGAGCCATGGATGAGATTTCCTCGTCTTGGCCGCACCATAACAGGATTCTTTTCATGTTAAGCCACATGAAAGAGATAGGTATGCAGGTAGAGAGAAGAAGAAGCACCGTCCTTTGTAAGGTAAGTCCAAGGAGCTTCATTTGATTCGCACCATGAGCTTGTCCACAAATTGGTTCCATGCCCATAGCCAAACCCGAGATAACAGAATAGCCAGTGATATTTGCAACACCAATAGAAAGAGAACCCCCTGCAAGTTCAAGCTCTCCAAGGTATCCAAGAAATAGTATGGAAATCATTGCCCTCGAATATAGTATCAGCCCGGTAATAGCTGTTGGTCCTGATATTCTTCCTATTGCTTTGATTTCTTCCAATGCCTAAATGCAAGAACAAGTAAATAATAGTTAGTAAATCTTAAAGATAATGCCAAAAAATTTTGGAAACTATTTTTATGTGATGTGATTACCTCAGAAGTAGTTGGCCATCTATGAATTTCTTGATTGGCTCGGTCATGATTCGTGATTTTCTTGGAGTTTAAGAAATGAGATACAAAGGATGTTGCAGAAGATGGCTTTGGGTTGCACATACCTTTCCTTTCTTCTTGTATTAAGATAGAACTAGTTTTGAAATGTTAAACAATAGGGTAGCTAGTAAAAAAATATAAAAGCCTGTATATATATAGGAAAAAGCCACTGAAGAAAACGTCCAGAAATGGTGCTAGAGAGATATGTGTCTGGAGGTGATTGGATCGAAGATATAACTGTGTTTTAAACTGTCTAATGATAGAATGTCATGTGACATTATGTAAAATTTTATGTTAAATATGATGTACATGTAGCATGATCCATATATACATATACCTACAAGGATTGGAACTGTTGCATGCTTCTAACAGACTTGTCAACAATTCAACAATCAAAAAGCGGCTATTAGTTTTTGTGGGGCCAATCCATCTTTTCAAATCCACCTCCCAATCCTTCCCAACTTTGGCTGCTCGTAGCTATGTTTTCCGAGTAACATCTCGTAAGCACATCTCTGCTGAGACATAAAAGTACTGGTGAACTGGTACGGTTTCCGGATCAACAAATAGAGTTATTAGCATTTATTTTGAGTCCTCCAGCAGGAGGCAAGTTGAAATCCAAGAAACAATGAAGTGCCTTCTTTAATGTCAAGTTTGGTCTAGTTTAATCAATCTTCTACGCGCACACACACAAACAGAGAGAGAGAGAGAGAGAGAGAGAGAGAGAGGGCAAAGATGTTGGCATGTCCCAACACACGTGAAGCAAGACAGTCTGAGCACGAGTTTTGTTGTCTAGGATCCCATTTTAACTGTCAAATACTGCTTGGTTTGTAGAGGAACAAACTTCATTAAGTAATTACTTTGAGGCCCCATCCATCTGATATGGCTCTATGTTTTCACTTGTCTTATTATGAAAACAGATTACTTTATAAGGCGTACCAAATTGGGTACAGTAGAGAAATTTGTGGTCTAACTCTCTCAATTTATTCAAGCAAGTAAAGGATGACGAAAATCTGGTGGGTTTTATCTTCTACCATCTTAAAAATTTTGCATTCTTAGTTGCTAACAAGAGCTGAGCTGATGTCATGGTGTTGCAAAATACGTGGGGAGACGGCCAAATAGAAACAACAGAACTCATCTCGCAAGAAAAGGGAAGGGTTTAGGCACATTATTTAGTGCGAATCACACTACTAGTATATGGTTGCAATATAATATGAGTACGTGCTACAATTGTAACCATTTAATTTGTATCCCTTTCTCACAGCAAAGGATGAGAATGCCTCAAAATGGGGACCTGAAATTGTAAAAGCAAACAGAATACCCTTCTCTCAAACAAAAGGTCACTCAACTTCTGTACATATATTTTCCCTAAGCAATAGTCTGAGATAAATACCGAAGAAAAAAGTAAAGAAAAGAAAAGAAAAGAAAATCAGTTCTCCATTTGTTCTTTTATGCAGGAAAAAACAATTATTATCTCGAAAAATTTGCGTCACCCATCGTGTCAGGCCACATGTGTGCACAGAGCTCAATAAGTTGGCATTTGAGAGAGCACTTTCCCCTCCTGCTGAAATGTATGCAGGTAACAGTACTGTCCAAAACATTACTGTTTCTATCCTACTTTTCCATATATGTGCTCTGTATTTTGATCTAAAGGCAGAATCAAATTGATGAGCCTTCAACAGGAATCTCCTATCATAAATAGGAAATTGGAGTTTATAATAGCTGGTTAGTAATAAAAATTTACAAAATACACTAGCAATTCTTGAACTGAATTGCAAGCAAAATTTAAGCAGCTTGGCATATTACATTCTAGTATGATTATTAAAATTATTGAATGTCCTTCAGTAATATTAAGTTTTTTTTTTTTTTACATTTCTAGTATGATTATCATGAATGTCCTTCAATAATATTGGTTCTGTAAAAACACGAAAGAAAAAAGACTAACAATTCTAATTTACAATTTCTTCTAGAAATGATGATGTTCTCATATTGTCCTCTCCCTTCATCAAAATTTTAAAATGCTAGCAAGTAGTATATGATTTTAGAAAAGAATTACACCTACAAAATTTAAAAGTCATAACATGTAAAATCTAGTGGAGCACCATATTAACAATCTATGATGCACCGATATGGATACGTGTTGGATACGTTGACACGCGATTTTTAAAAAAAATACAGACGACACGACACGACACGACACGACAAGTCATCGACACGTTGATTAAATTCTTAAAAATTCTTCATTTATATAGTATAAATTTAGTTTTATACTTATTAATTTTTCTTGTTAAAATCTTTTAAACATGAGTACCTATTTGTTACTTGCGAATAACTTTGAATTAACAATATATAATATTTTTAATATAAAAAGAAAAATGATTACGCTAGAGTGTCCGAGAAGTGTCGGTATCAACTTGTCGGACACGCTACCCTAATTGAAGTGTCTGTGCCACAGAGTTAACAATATATTAAGATACAACACTTTATTCTGGTAATTCTGTCCAGTGGTCATTCTATATAAATTCCAACATAATTTAAAATGATACTTCTGTATGTCCCTATGAACGAAGAAAGAAAAGAATAGAATACTTTCTTCTTATTAATTGGTAAAGGTAATACACGTATATATACATAACCTAAGAAACTATCTTAGGAAAGTATACAAATTAGGAAAACCTAGAATTAAGCTAATTAGCCAACTACTAATTACAATCTGTAACACCCCCCCCCCCCTCAAGTTGGAGCATAGATATTAATCATGCCCAACTTGTTACAAAGATAATCAACCCGAACCCCATTTAAAGCTTTCGTGAAGATATACCCTAATTGTTCTCC